CACACTTTAATATTCCCGCCAACCCTACAACTAGTAAGAACTAGAACATTCGCCAAAGTACATGATAGATCTAGAAACGTTGCATCACAGTAGTCATGTGACTCGATGGCGCAATAATATTTATATTACTTTTTTAACGTTTTCTATCGTTTGGTACAAATAATGCTTGCTAAGCCTAGTCCACGTACCAATAATGAATCTATTTATCTATTCGATAATGTTTGCTACAAGTTACGTTTATTTCGACACAAATAAACTTCTCAACATAAATTCTGAAACTAGTGTAGGCCTAATATACTAATAACGTTTAACAGATATTTCCTTGATTGATAACAAATGCTGACTAACTTAATGGTTAGCTTATAGTCTTACTGAATAACTTTACGCAATCAATCACACACTGAACACCTAAATAACTTGCTGTTTACTCGTATTTATAAATACTGTATCAAGTCTAAATATTAGTCAAAGTTACTAAATTTATGAAGTCAACATGAACTTTTTACATATTTTATAACAACTTTTATGAACATACTTGATCTTAACGTCATGCACCCTCTAACAAACATCTAAGTTAGAACACTAAAATATCGTTTACAACATTACTGTAGAGCAATTCAAAGGACTCGATATTAATCGTCAAATTACCGACTTATTTTTATACCGTTTACAACCGGTAAGTACCACATATTGAATAAATATGTTTTTGCCTGTCACAACACTCAATGAAGAACATAACGTCAAATTACCGACTTATTTTTATACCGTTTACAACCGGTAAGTACCACATATTGAATAAATATGTTTTTGCCTGTCACAACACTCAATGAAGAACATAACGTCAAATTTTGTGAAAATCGCTCGTTCTATTTATAAAATTCACAAGTGATTAGTGGGGTTATTTTTAATGTTCATCGTAGTTTTGTTTAATTTTTTTCTGTGACTCGTATGTTATTAGAGGCCCTGTATCATGGAAGTTCCGTGGGCTCACAAGTAATTTGGTACACAAACAATTTATCAAAATGTTAAAAAACTGATGGGGTCATGGACACCAACATCTATTGTAGAGTTAATGAGAAACTTGGAACTAATGGCACGATATTTTCTTTTGTCTTCCGCAGCTCATTATCACTGCTCGTTTTCTTCTTCTCAAACTTATGGTCACCGTGCTCCTGACGGTAGAGGGCACTCCTCTCAATCATTCGCTGTTCTGGAAATTCCAAGAGACAGATAAAACGACAGTAACTCCGACAGAACTAGAAGATGGAAATGTGGAATTTAATAAAACGTACCATGACGATCATGAAATGGGGAAAAGTGGACTGGATAATGTTACCAGTCAAACAGAACCAAACGATACGGTAATGTCTGCTTCTGAAAGGAACGAAACCGTGACTAATGGAAATCGTCAAGGAAACGAAACTGAAACTAGTACAGACGTACAATCAACTCCTTGGACATCCTTAAACGAAACTGAAACTAGTACAGACGTACAATCAACTCCTTGGACATCCTTAAACGAAACTGAAACCAGTACAGACGTACAATCAACTCCTTGGACATCCTTAAACGAAACTGAAACTAGTACAGACGTACAATCAACTCCTTGGACATCCTTAAACGAAAATGATGCTGTTTTCACAAGTCATTCAAACGAAACGGACAAGAACAATGAACACAGCGTCACGTTTCATCACGATCAGGAAGAAAAGAAAGAAATCACAACAACAGAGGTCGTTTTAGAAAAAGAAACTGAAACCGTGACATACGGTTCAGAAAAGAAGTCCCACTTAACGTCAAGTAAAGTACCATATAAAACAAGTACAACACAACCCAGTAAAACTAACAGACACGCGATGTCTTCTGTTCAAACGTGGTCAGTTGAAGCCTATGGTAACCATAGAAACAGTGACGTAACAAAGAAAAACTCTGACAGTAAACCCGTTTATACTCCATTATGGCTCAACAATAAGCACAACCTCCCAGATAAACCTCACGGAGACGTGGTTATATAAAACAGTCAGGCTACGTTCGCAAAACTGGTGCGTATAATAAAAACTGCAAAAATATTAATTAATGTACGATAGAAATAAGATTTTATCGTCAAGATGGAGGACTCGAATCAAATGAACTTTGTTATATTTTTAACCACTTTTCGAGCAAAATTTTCATTCTGTACTACAAAAAAAAAACGAAGTTGCAAACCGTTTTATGTAACACTAACTTAACCAACACTGTAGACTGAGTGTAAATTATCTGTCGGGCATCTTGCCGAGAGTAATAAGTAGGTTGTTTCGCCTTTCCTTTGCAGAAGTAAAAAAAAAAGGATTTCTCAACAATGTATATCTATGTTTTCCAATAACATAATGTATTTTATCATACAAAGTAGAACCTTGGTTATTGTAATTGAAATCAATGTTGTCATACTTATTTGAGTGCTACCTGTTTTTTGGCGTTGATTTATTTTCACCTTACCTTTTCGGCTTTAAAGAAAGCAAATTCTTACTAACTGTTTTGTTTATTTGAAATTAAGCACAAAACTACACAATGGACTATCTGTGCTCTAGCGTTCTAAGTCAGCAGACATACCGCTATGTTACTAGGGGGCTAAAAAGAGAGAAAAGAAAGAAACTAATTAAAAACTGAAGCCCGTTTGAATTTAAACTTCTGGCGTTACCACATGGGGTAATAATTGAAATTACCCTGTTTCTCTTCCTTTTAAAAATAAAGACGTTTAACATATTTCAACGAAGTAACAATCTTGAAAAAAAAAAAGGACTTATATTTTACAAATGAGAATCAAGTTGTCGGTCAAGAAACAAATTTTTACTATTTGTGTATGTGTGTCATTTGTTTGTTAAATTTCACGCAAAGCTGTTCGAAGACTATCTGGGCTAGCTATGCCTAATTTAGAAGTGATAAGACTGGGGTCCGCAAGTCATGTCCGAAATTTCATAAATATATTTAAAAAAATATGATTTATAAAATATTTTTTTCCGTACAATTAAATTTATATAAATTAAAATATTTAATTTTGGAATACAGATTTTCATGTACACAGAATCTTTTTTTTTTTCTAAACAAAAAACACCGATAGGTTTGGAGGTCCACGAAAAAAAAATTAAGTTAAAAGGGGTTCTTGGATTACAAAAGTTTGAGAAACGCTACACTAGAAGGAAGTCAAGTAGTCAACTGTTGGGCTACTCTCTATCAACAAAGAGTAGGGTTGATCGTCACATTACAACACCCCCCCCCCCCCCATTGCTGAAAATACATGCATGTTCTTGAAGAGATTCGAATCCGTAATCCGCAGATTGCAAGTCGAGCACCCTAACCACCAGGTTTGTTGTTTTCTTATTATAGTTACTAAGGTTGATATGTCGAGCACCCTAACCACCAGGCTATCCCTGATTGCTTATGTTGTTGTTAAGGTTGAAATGTCGAGCACCCTAATCACTAGGCTATCCCTGTTTGTTTATGTTGTTGTTATTTGTTATTATAGATACCAAGGTTGAAATGTCGAACACCCTAACCAGGTTATCCTTGTTTGTTTATGTTGTTGTTTGTTATTGTGGTTGCTAAGGTTGAAATGTCGAGCACCCTAACCATCAGGCTATCCCTGTTTGATTATGTTGTTGTTGTTGTGGTTGCTGAGGTTGAAATGTAGAAGTGAGGTGATATCATCACAATCTTACTATCGACAAAAGTTCTGTAAGCTTTTCGATTAATAGGATAACATTTAGAACGATATTCTGCACGATAAATTCCCAACTTTAATCCAACAACTTGTTAGTTTCTTATAGTAATAAACTATTTATTACATTCTTGCAAAAAAGTGCGTTTTTCCAAACTTGGAAAGTTACAAGGATATTAAAAATATATTAATAATAAGTACTGGGTAATTAATATTGTTAAAATATTTATACCAGCATAATTTGACATTATCTTATCTAAAACAAAATCATAATTTTCACTCCCAGACTTTTGCTGTTTTAAATCTCAAAAGTTGGATGTGCAAACCAAACCAATAGGCCTAATAATAGTGTTAGGTCTCTGGTCGTTTGTTATTTTCCCGTAAAAATTCCCTCCGAAAAACTTCAGCGATACAAGTCCTTTCTTAAATAAAACTAGTTTATTCTTTCTCAATACAACTTTGCAATACACTTAATTTCCACAATCAATTTAACTTAAACACACGCTATAATTCACAACGAACGATTCACGACTTACTTACTACCGAGCTTGACTCAACTGTTCGTCTCTGTCTGCAATTCTATCTCGATTCATTGTCTGGCGCACTTATATACAATAATACCGCACATCTAGCAAACACTCGAGCATTCACGAACCTTCGAGAATATCATGACGTGTTACTAGCGTCACATGACTTCCGCTGTCGTAACAATAGTAATAAAAAAATCATACTATACTATTCCCGAATCTGTAATGGGCTAATTTAGAGGATTGTGAAAATAAATATATGTATCCATACTAATGTGAATTTTATCACTGTTATTAGGCCTACTTGAGAAGTATCTTGCATTTAGATAATAAATATTATAATTCCGGCATCGCCAGGTGATTAGGGCCCTTGACTCGCGATCTGAGGGCCGTTGGTTCGAATCCCCATCTTACCGAACATGCTCGTTCTTTAAGCCGTGGAGGCGTTATAATGTGACGGTCAATCCACACTATTCTTTAGTAAAAGAGTAGCCCAAGAGTTGGTTGTGGGTGGAGATGACTAGTTTCCTTCCCTCTAGTCTTTAACTACTAAATTAGGGACGGCTAGCGCAGATAACTCTCATGTAGCTTTGCGCGAAATTCAAAAACAATATTTAATGTTAATAACAGTACAGTTCTATTTTGGGCCCGGCATGGCTCGACTCGCAATCTGTGGGTCGCGGGTTCGAATCCCAGTCCCACTAAACATGCTCGTCCTTTCCAAGAGGGAAGGCTGTCAAGTGGGTTGCATCCTTGACGTAAGAAACAGCTTTAGAAACGCAGGCAGAGCAAAATCTGCCATCGGCTCGACGGTCCGCAAGGACTATGGGAAAAAAAAAACAGTTCTATTTTATTTTCTAAAATGAAATACGAATTTCCAGTCCCAGACATCTTTATCTATTTTTGTTTTTTACAAAATTATCCGACCAAAAAGTAATGGCCCTATATATTTAGAAAGCGATTTCTTGAACAGCCATTAACCCGGTTTTGTTTTTTGTTATTATATATATATAATATTATTTCGGTGGTCCCTATACGAATATACACAGCTTTACAGAACCTCAGTGTAATCTGTTTACTTATTTTTTTGGTATTTCTATTGTTATTGATTTTTAATTTGTTTTACTTATGCCACTAGAGGGCGATTATATCTTTATGGAAACACGCTCCAGGTAGCCACGAAAGCTGAATTCCTTGATCTTTCCTATGATACCAGATGAACGTGGATCAAACACATCGATGCAATTAAAGAGAGGGTTTGGAACAAAAAACCAACTATGCGAGATGTTTATCTGTAAACATCAGAGACTCCTCAGATGACAGCGTTCTAAAAATTTCAAAACTTACACTATACCAGTCACTGAATATACTGTTACGCCTCCAATCGTTATTTAACTTTCCGTAACTTCGTTCCGACGAAACTTTAGCGACACAAGTCCTTTCTTAAATAAAACTGGTTTATTCTTTCTGAATACAACTTTCCGATACACTTAATTTCAACAGTCGCGCTATAACAAACGCTATAATTCACCACGAACGTCTCCCGTGCTCAACAATATTCTCACTCATTCAATTACTCATTACACTGTCGTCCCGTCGCGTTGTGAACGTCTTATATATTCAAGACTAACACATGTCTTGTAAATGCTAGGGCATTCCTGATGTCTCTTGTCATTTCTAAAAAAACGTGGCGTGATCCTAGTCACGTGACCTCGCTGACGCAACTTGATTAAATGTCGCCAAACCTAACATTTC